TATGAGTCCACATATCTTTGCTCACCATATCCCACAAAACCACCTTCTTCATTGGGCACGAGAGCACCTATCCGAGCATGAACCTCGGCACCATTCATCATCCGGTGTGCAGGTTTGTCACTTTGACGCCTTTCAGTAAAGTTCTTGATGTCTTGTCCGAATGGATGGTCAAGAGGTAGGAATTGACGATGTCTATCAAACAGCGAATACTTGCCACCCATGCGCAACCAAATAAACCTCACACCTTCCTTGCATATTGGGCATGGGAACTTCCGTGAACACACCAAAGCAGAATATCCCATACGCCAGGAAGTCATGCAGGGAGTAGTGGTACCAAACGTGCATTTTGAAGGTTGTCTTTGTAGCTCGATCGTATGTCCATACCCCTTCGTCCCAAGCACGGACCAATTCATCAAATACGGGCTCCATGAACACACCCATATTACTCCACAGGTGTTCGGGGAATTATCAACGACAAGAATACGTTATGTCGTTGAAAGGAGACACCGGGGAAGATTAAGGGGATAACAAAGGCGGGCCAACATGTGTATGGGGCAGCCATCATTCCATAAGGATTGAACCCATCTGTTGCCAACGCGACACGTACATTACGAGCCTCATCTGCTTTGTCACGATGTTTGTCATTAAAGCGGATCCAAGCTTCACCATCGGATGGATGTACCATCTTGTTAGGATTGTACCGTTTGCCATTTTTGTGCCATGTCATCATGTTCATGGATTCCTCGGTCATGTATAGCCGTTGAATCCTTGGTAGGAACGGAAGGTACCGTAGGATTTTCATGGGGATCGTAAGTTGCCTCTTACGGCCATCATCGAGTCTACCTCCAGGTACGGAGGATTTACACTTTGGACAGAACTTTGCATGCTCGTGTTCTTTCCTAAATAGGAGACACCCTTTCGGACAAGCATGTATCTGCTCATACGGCATCTTAAGTGCTCGAAGGAGTTTCTGTGACTCGTACATGCTCTTCGGCAGAATGTGGCCCTCCGGAAGCAAGGTGCCAATCACGGCCAACATCTTATCGAAGGTTGTGTCGACTTAAGTTTAACTCGGACTTCAACCCCATTAAGCGTCCAATGGCATCCGGTTGAGACACCGTTGACCGATCGTGAAGGGGTTTCGTCTTTGAGTCCATCATATCGTAGAATGCATGCGGTTGCTTCCATCTCCTCCTTCTCACGTCCCTCATCGAACTGTCCTTGGTGAAAGTCATCTAACATGTACGCTACCCGGCATCGACATCAAAAGCCTCCACCCGTGGTCTCACCACCTCCTCTCTCATAACGATGGGCTTCACCATGGTGGACCCACCGGGTGTAGTCCGGCGTAAATCCATTCTTCACAAGATGTTTACCCATTTCCACCTTGTTTACCCTTCTCCTGTTTCCACATTTGCTGCAGGGACACAAAACTAGGCAATGTCCTTTAGCAGCGTTGCCAAATGCACTGTTCAAGAAAGCATCGGTCTTGTTCATCCATTCCGTGGTGTAATCACTCTGACTTCTCCAGCCCGTGTACATCCACGACGGTCATCCATCCTCTAACATATGTATCGGCGAGTAATGTAACCATTAATTGCATGTACATGGTGTTCCTACTTATCTAATAGGTGAGGATAGGTCTTAATCCCACCATGAGATGTGTAGATGAGGTTAGTTTCCATGCTCTACTCCGAGAGAGGCAAATTTGGTGACACCTCATTTGTTCTCCGGATACACGTCCTACCAAAGAAGAGTGTGTATCCGGAGAACAACAGGGAGGTGATGCCGAAAGTCCATCTCGGACTAGAGCAGTAACATGGAAACTAACCATCTACGCATCCATGGGCTGTCCAAAAGCGTGGACAATCCGAAATAGATACGGTCATAGATATGCAAAGATCTCGCATACCTCCAACCGTATCTCTTTCGAACGGGAGACGCCTAAGCTGGGTTACGTGATCTCACGACAATGATATAAAAAGAGGGGTTATACCTAGGGTGGCGATGGAGTCGGGCTAAGAAGGGCCGTGGCGGGTCGGTGCAAGTGGTTAGACGACGACAGCAGTGTGTGCAGACCGACACGGTGGCGAGAACTCCGACTCAACTCGACGGGCTCTTCTCTACAAAAATGGAACAAAATATCGTTATTTACAAAAAAAATCGGCAGAACCTCCCCGCACGGTGAGGTTTCCAAAACTGCAAAAACAACGCACGATGGCCGACAAGCACATATGGCTCAACATGAAGCCATGTAGTTTGGATATCAATCCATGTAGAAGAATATATCCAAGTAGTACCTCTACTTGTACTACTACTACCACTACTTTACTACTACTACTACCACTAATTCTACTACTAATACTACCACTAGTTGTACTAATCATCGCCACTAGTACAACTAATACTACTACAACTACCACTACCTCCACAATAATAAGTGAGAAGGCATACCGACAGGCGGCGAGGGGTAGGGGCAGGCGGCGTCGGGATCAAGTGAGTCGGGGATGGGGTAGAGACGGATGGCGTCAGGGCGTGGTGGTCCACGGGCGCGGCCGGGCAGGCAAGGCCGGAAAAAGCGTGGCCGGGGCGCAGGGTCGGCCGGGTCGGGGGCGCTGGTGGGGAAGGGCCGGCACGGTGCAACCGGGCGGTATGGCAGGCGTGGCGGCAGTGGCAAGGGAGTGTGGGGCCGAGGGCACGGGCAATGAGGGCAAGGCGGTATTGGCGGCCGGGCGCTGGCGGCGGGCAACGGTGGCGTCTGGCAACGTGTGGCAGCATGTGGGCGGCTGGGGCGGCGGGTGCAGGGGCGGTGGCGGTGTGTGGCAAATGTGTGTGTGCTGGTGTGGGCGTGTGGCGGCGCAGTGGTATGTGCAAGGGGTATGCTGGCGCGTGGGTGGCGGCGGTGTGTGGCGGTGAGGCATGTGGTGGCAAAAGGGTGTGTGGGCGCTGGTGGCGGCGATGTGGCGCGGCAAGAAGGCGGGCGGGTGGGCGTTAAGCGGGTTTACTGGCAATGATCGCCGGCCGGTCAAAAACCGGGTGTCCATGCTTTGCCGAAGTCTGCCGGATCAGGAGGCACTCGGCAAAGATTTTTTTGTTTTAATTTTAATTTTGCGAGTGCCCCGGATCGCTTTTCGGCAAAGATTTTTTTATTTTTTAAATTCTTTGCGGCGTCTCGGATCTGGCGCTCGGCAAAAGAAATTTTTATTTTAAAAATATTAAAAGGAGTGCTCCTGGGCGGCACTCGGCAAAAGATTAAAATTTTTTAATTATTTCTTTGCGAGGTGCTCTCACAATACGCACTTTTCGGCAAAAGAAAAATTAAAAAAATTAAAACATTCTTCTTAGAGTGCACGAATTTGGCACTCGGCAAAAACACTAAAGTGCCATGCTGACACTCGGCAAAAGTTTTTTTTTTGTTTTTGGCCTCCAATTTTTTCATGCACCTTTTTAAAAGCACCAGGAACTCCTAGTTACAATTTGAAGATTTTTTGTGGCTTTTTGTTATATTTAGTTACTTTATTTACGTTTACTTGATTTTTTTCGGAAATTAGAAATTTGAAGAATTTATAAACATACGAATAATGGAGTTTAATGATTCGAAAATCTAGATAGTCAAATTAGTGTGTGTTATGAGAGGCCGTATCATAAGCGGACCCAAAATAACGGATATCAATTTTCGAATCATTAAACTCGAAACATATCTACGAAATTGCAAGCTTCAAATTGTCCAAAAAATTTATAAATTCTATAAAGTGCTAAATAAACAAAATGCCACAAAAATCAAATTGAAACTTGTTGAGATTTCGTGATATCAAAATTGGAGGCTAAAATAAAAATTTAGAAGATTTTCGTGCACATTGTCACGTCATGATGCTTATAAACCAGGACATCTCACATGTGATAGTCGGATCGTCACATGTGGAGAAGAATGTTTTAATTTTTTTAATTTTTTCTATTTGCCGAAAGTGCATACACAGAGAGCACTCGGCAAAGAAATAATTAAAAAATTTAAATCTTTTGCCGAAAAGTGCCGCCAGGAGCACTCGCAAAGTATTTTAAAAATAAAATTTTTTGCTTGCCGAGCGCCAGATCCGAGACGCTTCGCCGGCAAAAGAATTTTAAAAAAAAAAAATCTTTGCCGAGCGCCAGATCCGGGGCACTTGGCAAAGAAATTAAAAAAAATCTTTGCCGAAAGTGCCTAACCGCAGCGCCGGCAAAGAAGGACGGCACGCGCCGTTTCACGGGCAGCCTATGCCGAGTGTATAGATTTTGCCGAGAGTTTGGCGCCGGCAAAGAAGTCCTTTGCCGAAAGTGCCTGTGTTTGCCGAAAGTGCCGGCGCGCGGCAAAGAAATCTTTGCCGAGTGTAATTCTTTGCGAGTGCAAGACTCGGCAAAAGAAGATCTTTGCCGAGTGTCCGATTTTGACACTCGGCAAAGAAATTTACACTCGGCAAAGTCTCTGTTTCCAGTAGTGAGAGCTGAGATATTCGGAATGCATATATAGTGTACATAGGGACATAATTAAAATTTGAACCAGCAGGAAATAAACAAATTTGTGTGTGCATTCAGTTTTTATTAGTGTTGATGCTGCTTCACATCACAGATTCACAGGCGGTGTGAGGGACGTACGGGTAACCACCTACTATGCATGCATGTATGGGAGAATAATGAGAAGAAATGTGTCTAGATTAATTCTATATCTATATCTTGTGAATTAGCAGAGTTAATGTTATAGACTTATATTTTGCTATACTTTTTTTTCATATTGCTATACTTGTGCATGCAGCGAGTTATTTTTAATTTCTCAAAAAAAGAGAGAGTTATTTTTCAAGTAAAGAAGAAAGAAATCAAGGAGGAAACTAACAATAACACGCAATGCATGACAAGAATCTTTAACTAGCAGGACAAAATAAATAAATTGTTTTCAGGTCGCAACCAAAAAAAAAAGAAGAAAAACAGGAACTTTAGCAGGTAGGTCTAGAGGATAGGCACAACCGTACCTCTCGAAGAAGAAGGCGAGTGGAGCGACGGCGGCGGTGGCGACGAGGTTGCGGTAGACGATGAGGACGCAGGGGCGCATGCCGGTGTTGAGCGCCAGCTTCGAGAGGAGCAGCATCACCACCGTGAACGCCTGCACCACCACCATGCTCAGCGGCAGCGCCGCCGTCTCCCACGACGACGCCCCCGCCCCGGCCCCGGCCCCCGCCGGTGAAGCTTTCACCGGCGGCGGCGGCGGCGGCGCCGGCTTGACGGGCATCTCCACTACGATCTCCTCCTCCTCCGGCGGCGCCTGCCGATCCGCCTCCCCGTTCGACGCCATGTGTGCTCAACTTCCTTGGATAGATCCTCCTAGCTAGGTCCTCCCTTGATAGATGCCGCCGCCGCCGCGTAGACGACGATCGACGAGGAGGGCACGAGCACGGAGCAGCTAGCAATGCACGGCCGCGGCAAGAAGGGTGGGTGGAGAGCGCGTTGGCATGCAAATGCAATGGAGATTGATGACTCGGAGGAGAAGAAGTGTAGGTGACTTCAAGGTGTATATACATAGGAAGTCGAAGAGAGCGGAGAGAAGTTATTAATGGCGGCGTGTCGTCAGCAGTGAGAATGTGAGATGCATGGCCGATCGATCGTTGCGGCCGGGAAGGATGGATGGAGACGGGAGGTGGCCGGGGAGGTGGGTGGGTGCCGAATGCAACTGCACTTGGATCAATCGGGAAACAAAGATGGGAAACGAACACGTCGTCCGTGCACGGGAGGAGGGATTCTTCTTTCAATTCATTGATAAATCTGGATGGACCGCGATCCGGTTCTGCTCATCGTTTGCCTGCTCGTTTTTGGTTGGGTTTGATTTCTTCGCGTTGCTGGTACCAACACAACACACAGCACAACAGTGGACTTGCTGTACGTTCCGCCGCGGATTGCATGGCTGATGAAGTGATGATAGCTAGCGGTTTAGTAGTATCCCACAGTTTGACTGGCCACTGCATGCATGCTGGTAATTAATTTCATCGTTTATATCATTGTGCGTGTATAGGTTTATCTATGAACAATGCTGGTATTCATTCATTTTCATCATACTACTACGTATAATACGTTGGAGGAAGATATATATTATTTATGAACAATGATATGTTTATCTGTGGGCAGATCTTCTTAACGATTTCATTCTTGGCAAAAAGTATATCTCTTTGATTTTAGTTTGTAAAGAATAAAGATTAGCCTAGCTAAGGAAAAAAAGTGCAAATATACAATCCTAGAACAGAAATTAAATACTCCAGATAAAGAAAAAATCGCGAAGAATTTTGTCATTTCAAATTTCCACCCCACTTTTCAGTCCACCGGTTGCAAATGAGATATTTGGGGCTCAAATCCATAGATAGTCCAAATATATATAATACTCCTAGTAGATAACTTATTTATCTGCTCTGTCCTGCCTAATTTTTCAATAAAGTCTGGAACTTTGGGGTACTATATAATACCTGCGCCAGCATTCATGCTAGTTCAACTTTGCACTACCGGAAACAACAGATTTGCTGAGTGCAAAAATATTTACCGAGTGTATTCCATCGGGCACTCGGCAAAAAAATTGTTTGCCGAGTGCTGCAAAAACCACACTCGGCAAAATAATGGCACTCGGCAAACACTCGGCATAGCTGCCTCGTTGGATACACATCGATGGCAAGGGCGGTCCATGGCCCAAAGTACGATCTGAGCGTCCATGACCTTGATGGAGAAGTGGTCATGAGGGCGGGAGGAGGCAAGAAGCATTGACAGTTCTGAATTGGCGACGACACAATCGACACGGCCAGTACTCCCACTCTCTCCCAGATTCGAGCACGGAGCACGAGTTCCAGCCCGGCGATACGCCCACGGCCGGACCCTACGCGGTTCCAGATAAACGCACTCTAGGTTATTTCTGTTTTACTCATCGTTCATTAATTTTTACATACTTTTGCATTGCATTATAACATTGGAATGAAATATTGTAGGCTCAGCTGGAACAAGAAACGAGGCGCTGGGAGGAACTAGAGGCGAGGATGGAGGCAGACCAACAGAGGATGGAGGCAGAGCGGCTGTAGATGTTTGAATATATGAGGGGTGTTTACGCTGCAATCGATCAACCTCTGCCACCGATGCCAGTCCCTCCTCCTCAACCTACTCCAAATACTGTTTCAGGCATTGTGAGTCATTTCACAACCTTATAATCACCATTTCTAATTTATGCAGAATTAATCTTACAAAGATGCCTAGACACTAAAAATAGAAATAAACTAGAAACTAGAAATAAATTAGAAACTAGAAACTATAATGATTTATAGTTTACAAACTAGAAATAAACTAGAAACTAGAATGATTTATCTCTTCTCCTTTGTGCAGAATCAATCAGCGGCATCGAATGAGCCTCATGACCCAGCGTGGTCACAGTGGACACCGTGGCCTCCTCAGTGACTACTTGTGATTTTATTTGTATTTGCATTTCTGGATTACTTGTGACTACTCAGTGACTACTCAGTGGACACCATTGCACTCAGTGAATTTTATTTGTATTTGTGGTTGTGAATGAACCTACTTGTGATTCTGAAGTTTATTTGCATTTATGTGTTGTCGATATATCTATATGAACTGTCTGTGATGCTTATTGTAAACTATGTGTGATGCCTGTAATATTTATTTGAGTGGGGTACGTTATACGTGACCAAACCATAAAAAACTAAAAATATATGTTACACTCGGCAAAGAGGCCTTTTGCTAAGTGCCAAGGTAAAAACACTCGGGAAAACGGACACGTGGCCAAAATCTGTACATTCTAGGCCAGTCTTTGTCGAGTGTCTGGGATTTGACACTCGGCAAAGCAGCCATGTTTGCCGAGTGTCCGGGATTTGACACTCGGCAAACAAGGGCATATTTGCTGAGTGTCAGGGCCGGGGCACTCGCCAAACATGGCTACTTTGCCGAGTGTCAAATCCCGGACACTGCGCCATGACCGTCTCCGCACCGTCACGTTACTTTTTTTTTGCCGAGCATCGGTTTCAGCACAAAAAACACTCGGCAAAGAGACGTTTGTCGGCACTGTAGATGCCGTGTGCTGTTTGCCGAGTGTTACACTCGGCAAAGCCTTTGCCGAATGTTTTTTGGGCTTTGCCGTGTGCCTGTGGCACACGGCAAAGCTACTATTTCCGGTGGTGTTGATTTTCTATATATTGTAATATGGACAAAGATATCAAGTATATAAATTTATTAAACTATTTCTAAAGACTATTTTAAGAGCTATCAATAGTGAAAGTTCTCAAATTTGACCTCATCCTTGTCCAAAATGACAAGAATATGTACAACAGGTAACAAACTATCTAGCATTAGATTGAACATTGCCAAAATTTTATGGATTTGTTGTGCATACTAATGTCAACCTTGTTATTCTGTGTGTTGTTTTAACATTTGAGACAATATATATCCTTGAGGTTTTGATGCATATAAGTCTACCTTGGATGATGGATCTAGCACTAGGGCCGGGTACCACTACTTAGAGCATGGAGCCCCTCATAAGTCATAAGTCACTCCTACAAATTTTAGCCATAGAAGCTTGGAAGAATGGGCTAAATGTGACTAAAACATAATGGATAGGAAGGAGTCCATCCTAACGTATTTCCCTAGGTCCGCCTATCTTGCACTTTCCTCTCATCTCCAAAATATATATGGATTGTTTTGGCTTTGGGCATGCCTCCACCTGAATTGTATTGATATAACATGACATAACCACATTTCAATATGTTTTTAGGGAAAACAAGGAAAACTCTACATCACTTGGTTAATTTTAGAAAGGGCCAAAACCAAGGCACCACCTAACTAAACTAGAACTCATAGATAAAGATGTGCATAACCACGGGTAACGACAAATTAAACAAGTCTAGCATTGGCATACCATGTTATTCTATAGTGATACAATGCCCGCCATAACTTTCTACAATTTGGTGCGCGAAAACTATACTAGGCACTATTGACCTTTCTTATATCATTTTTGTCACATGCGCCAAATTATGGGAGATGACCGCCATCCCACAATTTTACCAGTTTTTATTGTCTCATGAATGTAATCCTTAATACTCCCTATCTAGTTGTGAAAACTTGTCTTCTACGACTTACAAACATCAATAGTTATTGTATTATTTAGTTTTGAAACATGTGAAGTATATGTGTTGATTTGCATTTAAAGTTACAAAATCTCTTGTATTTATTTGCAAGATTATATTCTAGAGGAAACTAGTAGTCAAATAGACGTAGATTGTGAGACAAAGTTAGATTAGATTATATTTATGGACTGATTTCAAAAGAAAAAGATTATATTTATGGACGGAATGAGTAGTACTATTATTTTAATAGAATTTTTTTTACAGTTCTTTGGTAGGAACCACAACATTATATACATACTCCCTCTGTCTCAAAATAGAAGTCGTTACGGAATACGTGCGGGTCAAACTTTCTTAGCTTTGATTAGATTTATAGAAAATGTGTGCAATATTTTATCTTCAAATAAGTTTATTATGAAAGTATATATATTCAACGATCTATCTAATGATACTAATTATGTGTTATAAATATTAATATTTTTTATATTATATTTGGTCAAAGTTAAAACTGCTTGACTTCTCGAGAAGTGAGAATGACATCTATTTTGGGACGGAAGGAGTACCACATAATGCTTCGGTTGTGTACTTGGCATCTTGGTACTGAAATTTAATATCTTGGTAATTGATAATAAATTTATGGTATCCCTTCATCTCTAAAGAAATTAACTTCAAGAGTTATCTTCAGTCAAACTTTTTAAATTTGACTAAATTTGTAGAGAAAAAATACCAAAACTTATGACACCAAATTAATTAGTATCATTAGAAACATCATAAACTATATTTCTTATAATATGCGCATTGTGTCACAAATATTTATACTTTTAACTATAAATTCAGTCAAATATAAAAAAAGTTTAGGTAATTCTAGAAGTCGATTTATTCAAGAACAGAGGTATTACCTCTCAACGATATAGTAACAAAGGAGACTCATTTGGTAACACGATAACATAACAAGGCTGGCATAATTAATGTAAGAATATTTGTTATTGTCTGTCATGCATAATCTAAAAGGTTGGGCTAGCTTAGCTTGCCTAGCTAGCATATGCATATATCCGGGTATATTATGTAGGGTCACACATACCTAGGGGCTAGTCAGTGCCGGCCCTGGAGAGGTGCCAGATGTGCGACGGCCGAGGGCCCATGGGAGTGAGGGGCCCAGGCCCAGGTATACGATGGCCCTAGCCCTTAGTACGTAGAATACCGCGTACGCGAGCGCGGTGCGCTGCAGCAGCCGAATGCGAAGAGGCAGAGGAGTCACGGAGGGACGGAGTCGCCGCGGACTCGACTCACATCTCACGGAGTCACAGAGACACGAAACAGATCACAAATCAGGACCGCGCACGTCCAGGCGGCGATCAGGGGGGCAGACCGGCAACCGGCAGAGCACTCCAGGGCCCAGGCTGGCAGGCTCGACTCGATGAGCCGATCACTGCAGTCTGCAGCCGATCATCACTTCATCAATCATCAGTTCATCAGCCACCGACCATACCCTAGCCCCTAGGTATTTTTTTCCTTGATCGTTTTTTAATCCTGTACATGCAATGTTGTGCCTGATGATAATCCTGTAGATACACTTGATATTGAAGAAAAAGGGCAGCAACAAGTTAATGATAATTTAAGTGAAGAAGTTGATGCCAATGATGATGCTATAAAGAATAAAAAATTTACAGCATTCCCCTCAACCTGAAAATTCAATTGATGATGTGCAATAAGCTTCTATTCATGATGTCTTTGATCCTAGAACTTGGAGAAATCTTGATAATAAGGGTAGAGATATATTGATTGAAAAGGGGCTGGTGAGTGAATTGAATCTTGAGTTCCCTGTAGATGCTCTTAATAGACATTTTCATATGTTTACTACTCCAGAAAAGTTAACTAATGGTGAGGTGGTTGATAGAAAATGGTTAGTTTACTCTAAATATGTAGACAAAGTTTTTTGTTATTGCTGTAAATTGTTCAAATCAAGTCAAAGCAAAAGTTTGCTAGCACATGATAGATTTATATATAATCTAGAGGGACAGTTATATTATATAAGATTTATAAATAGTCTATAGGAGCCGTCGCAACGACTTCGCCGGAGGGCCCTCAGACTCCTGGGACTGGCACTGGGTCAGTGCATGCATTTGGCCATCGATCTCCAGCTAAATTGTAGTGGATGTGTGATGCGTGTAGGTCTTGGCTTGATCACTCGATAATATACACGTACGTACGTATGTACTCGTAGCTGTAGCTTAGCAAGCTCATTGCATTGGCGTGACGACGGAAAACATGCATTGGGTGGGTGGGGGTGTCGTAGGGAAAAGGGAGAGGCGCCGGGGCCGACTGGGCCGCAAGACAAAGCTTCTCGTCATGTTGCTCCCAGTCCCATGATCCCATCCGTTGGTGTGTGTGTGTTTTCTTTTTCTTTTTTTGATGATGATGAAAAAAAGGGACAAGCAGGAGATCTGCCAATGCAAAATGCTCCTAGGTTTTTTTTTGGGTAGAGAGCAAGCTGATTGCTGTTGGGGGTTGTCTCACTGCCTGAAGACAGCCTCTCTTGCAGAAACACTGTCGCTTGTGTACGTTATTTGATTTGCACAAAGCCACAGACTCTTGTCCCTTTGGTTCCATCAGCAGGTAACAGACTTAAGCTTTCTGGGCAATGAAAGTCCAGTCTTTTGCTCCATTCAGAGATATATCTCCAAAGTTAAGAGCCATGGGTTTCTCGTTGTATGTTGAAACAGACCAATTCATTGGTCCTACTCAACTCATCAGAACTGTCTTTTTGTTTATCAATAAGGATTATCCAATGGGGTCATTCATAACTGGAATTGGTTTGACATGTCACGTGTAGGCCTGGTAATGGGCTGGCTAAGCCCAAGGATCATAAGGGTCCCAACTCATGGGCTCTTTATATATGGGCTGTGTATGGTTTTTTCTTTCTTGAACAACACTGGAGAACTACATGTCATTTCAGTAACAAGAAAATGCTCCTAGTAGATAGATAGAGGAGAAACTCGGTAAATGGAACAGAACAGTTACCGCCATGAGTTCTTTCTTTTATGCTACCGGCCTTTTGAGTCCGAGTGGTTTAGCGCTATGTAATAACACCTTTAAGCTGTAAACTGGATTCTTGCTCCTCTCTTATATGATATAGCAGTGCTCCTGCTGATTATTCTAAAAAAAGAAACTCGGTAAATGGAACAGAAATAGAAATTACCCGACAATCATCATTTACAAAATGCACTATCCTTTTGATTCTGTTCGAACCAGAAAAGTGGATCAACTTCCATTCCGTGCGCTCCGACATGTACATGGAAGGAGGAAGGTCTGCTGCAGCTAGATATGTCCCGCCGGCCGCCGTTCTGCAGCCGTAGCTGCTCCTCGCGGGACAGATCCGGCAACAAATCCTTCAACAGCTAGATCGACCACGTCGCTATAGTTTTTCAAACGGGCCGCCCGGCACGGCACGGGCACGGCCAGGCACGGCACGGCGAGGCACGGCACTATACGGCACGGCGGCCCGCCGTGCCGTGCCTTATAGTGCCACCGTGCCGAAGTGGCAACCCAGGCACGGCACTATCAAGTGTAAACCGTGCCGTGCCGTGCCAGCAGGCACGGTGGCACACCAGTGCCCGTGCCGGCCCAGGCACTAAACACATTTTAACCAAAGCATTTCATCAGTTCAAGATTAAAGTAACAAGCATAATTTGGAATCAAAATTACCAGAAAAAGAACTAGAGAAACAAAAACAAAGCAAACACACAAGAGTTAAGAAAATAGAAATATGGGAGCATGTGCAATGGCTGCCTCACTAAAAACCTGCTAGGTAAAACTCACCCTTGTGAGAAACCCTAGTCAGGAAAAGAGTACAGCCTAGCTTCAAAGTTCAAATGTTCAATGTTCTTACATCATTGTCCAAGTTCTCATATTACAGACCCAAGTTCCATCTAAATGTAAAGACTAAAGTAATAAAGATGAAGACTAATGCTTCAAAGCTTCAAGCTTCAAGCTTCAAGCTCCCAGCTGGCCAGCTGCAAAAGAAGAACAGAGTTAGCATTAGGATTACTAATCAGTTAGCAAAAGAAGAGGAAGTTAGGGACTTAGGGGTATGATTTACCTTGGCGGCGGGAGCACTAATCAAGATAGAGGTCTTCAAATGCTTCTTCAAGTTCCTTGTCCTCCACATTGTGCTGTAGCCTTGCCTCCGCCAACTCCTAGTCCTTGATGCAGGTGAGCCACTCCACCGTCTCCGGCTTCAGCCTCCTCCGCCGCTCCTCGATGATCCTGCCAGTCATACTAAAGGTAGATTTTGAAGATATGGTAGAGACAGGAACAGTTAAAACATCCTTTGTCATGATGGATAGCACTGGATATGTCAGTTTGTGCTCATGCCACCATCTCAAGATGTCAAATGAATCATCCAACTGGCTAACAGTATCACAGTCTAAGTATGAGACAAGTTCAGAAGCATTAGAAGCTGTAGAAGTAGGAGCATGCAGCAAAGCAGTAGCAGATGTATCTCTAGACAGATTAAGAGTAGAATGCAGCAGTGAAGTACCCCCACCAGAAGAACTAGAATCATCATCATATATTTCATCCCAAGCAGACCTTTTCTTACCAGTTAGGTTTTGAGGGACAGTCCTCCTCAACCTAATAGCTCCATATTTCTTCTCATACTTATTGTAAACATCAGTAAGCCTAGCTCTAGTGCCAACCTGGTAAGCAATGTAGTCTGTACTGGTAAGGTTCATCAACTTCGTTAGCACTTTTGAAAAACCCTTCATTTTAGCTCTAGGGTTCAAGATGAATGCAAAAGAATAAAGCAAAGGTATGTCCCTCCAATACTTATTATATTTGTCTACCATAGGTTGAACCACATTCCTCAGGTGAATGTCATTATCATACTTGTTCAGGTGTATAGCAATCTTAACCAGATAATGAAGCATAAGTGGGGATGTAGGATAGTAAACACCAGACAAGGCAACAGTAGCATCATAGAACAGTTCAAGAAACTTAAAGACTTTTTCAACAACAACCCAATGTTCTTCAATTAGAAGCAACTCACCTCCCTCACCTCTAGGATAGTTAGCATGTATGAAAGTGGTGAAAGGATCTTTGTGAGGAAACAAAGTCTTAAGCATGAGATATGTAGAGTTCCACCTTACATCCATGTCCAACTGAAACTTTCTAGGCCTATAACTAGAAGCAATGCAATAGTTTTTGTATGCTGCAATTCTCTGGTTAGATGAGTTTAAAAATGATATTACAGTTCTAAAAACTTCAATCAAAGGTTTAAGATAATCAAGTGCCTCCTTAACAATCAGGTTGATTATATGGCATGCACAACGCTGATGCAAGAACATAGTAGTAACAGCAGTTTCAGAATGTCTTGGATCCTCTACAGGAACCTCAAGATCAAGATATTTAGATAAAATAGGTCTTAGCATACGCATGGCAGAAACATTAGATGAAGCATTGTCCAAAGTAACAGCAAACACTTTTTCAAGCACACCATATTCACCAAGAACAGATGCAACTCTATCGTCACCATCAAGGTCGATACCTGGTCCTAGTCGTCGTCGGCGTTCTCACCGTCTTCTTCTCCACCACCACCTTCGTCACCATCAAGGTCGATGGGGTCCTCTGCGCCAGCTCCACCAGGTATAGCTCCACGGCCGAAGATCTCTTCTACCTCTTCATCGCCCATGTCGTCGTTGTCATCACCAGGGAGGTCGCGGACCCTCTCCATCTCATCAGCCATGGCAGTGGCACTAGCCTCCACCGTGTCCTCAGAGACAGAGGGAGGCTGGGACGGCATCCTCACTTGCCCTGGCCTCAAACATCTGCCAAAAGAAGAAGAAAGGAAGAACACGAACATCAGTCAAGAACTCAAGATTCAAGAAAAGAAATCAAGAACGGAGTAGATCGGAGCTAGGGTTAAGGTTAGGCTTTGGAGCTAGGGTTAGGGTGTCTTACCTAGACGTTTAGGGTTTAGGGTTTAGGGTTTAGGGTTTAGGGGCATAGAAGACGGCGGAGCCGGAGCTCCTAGCAGCAGCGGATCCGCGGATCTGTAGAAGAGGGATTGAGTCAGTGACAGTGAGAGAAAGAAGAAGAAGAGCAGAAGGGGATGTTACCTGCATCGTTGGAGCTCTAGAGCTGCGGCTGCCGAAGGACGAGAAGAGGAGGCAGGGTCCATGGGGACGACGGCGAGTCGCCGTCGCCCTTAGGAGGGGCCGTTGCCCTTTGCCACAGTCGTCGGAGAGGGCGAGAGCCAGAGAGGAGAGGAGGGAGAGCGTTGGCCAGCGAGAATGCGAGAGCCGAGAGGATGAAATGATTTAGGGTTTGTGTGGGTGGGGAGCGGGGGTGGCCGACCGGCTTATATACGCGGCGGCGCCATTGCCCTAGATCCAATGGCCATAATCCATCAGGGGGGATCGGACGGCTGAGTTCCCTGGATAGCAGGCCGTTAGCGGGCCAAGCCACTTTACCGTGCCGTGCCCGTGCTGGCCCATGGGCCGAATTGGCAGCCCAGGCACGGGCACGGGGGCGGGCCGTGCCAGGCACGGGCACGCAGGCTATCGGGCCGGGCCGTGCTTGGGCCGTGCTTTCTCGGGTCGTGCCTATGCCGGCCCATCGTGCCTGGCCCATCTGGAAAACTTTACACGTTGCCGACGAATCCCAATCCATGGGATGCACGGTGGGATCTTTTCCTTCTCGCGTTCGCAGCTCTCACTAGTAGAGAAACGACCTTTGATCCTGCCTCGAAATTTGGCTTTAGTCCGAGTATTTTTCACGCCCGGGACTAGAGAGACCTTTAGTCCCGGTTTGTAGCTCCAACTGGGACTAAAGGTCCCTGCCCAACGGCTACTGCGATAGGCTTTTGCTGCAGGGGACCTTTAGTCCCGATTGAAGCTACCAACCGGGACTAAAGGTTAACTTTTACTCCCGGCTGGAGGCTCCGTCCGGGACTAAAAAGTGACCTTTAGTCCCAGTTTCTGTCTCCGACCAGGACTAAAGGTCCCTCAACTCGGTTAAATAGTGGACGGGCCACTCACATCCATCTCGGCCTGACAAAAATAGCGCAGCGCATCCCTCAATCCCCCCATCTCCCCATCTCCTCTCCCTCAATCACGCAGCGCATCCCTCCTCTTCCTCCGTCTCTCCCTCCCTCACTCACTCCTCTCCCTCCAGAGCGAGCAGCGGCCCCCTCCTCCCTCTCCTCCGGTGCGGCGGCGGTGGTGGAACGCCAGGTGCGGGGCGACCCCCAGCCCCCTCCTCCCTCTCCAGCGGATCTAGGCGCCGTGCGGCCCCAGGCCCCCTCCTCCCTTTCTACCGATGCGGTGGCGAAGGCACGCCGGGCGCGGGGCAAACCCCGGCCCCTTCCTCCCTCTCCACCAGATCTGGGCTACCTCACGGCGTCCCTCTCTCCCACGGCTCCTCAATAGCGCGCGGCTCCACCTAGGAGGGTGAGATCTAGTGGAGGACGAAGCCATCGGCGTAGGAGCTACGGACCTGCGAGCTGCGGGGATGCCAGATTCGGTGGCCGTGAGGCCAAATCCGGTGGCGGGGAGGCCGGATCCGGTGGTCGTAAGGCCTGATCTGGTGGTGGGGAGACCGGACCTGGCAGCGAGCGACTGCAGCGGCGATGCCCCGTGGATGGACTCGCTGGGAAATAGGTTTCTATATTCACTGTCTAGATTGGCACAATATTCCCTAAATCTTATCCGAACTCTCAACGGTGAGACTTGATAGTACAATAGCTGTGTTTGGTTGGTGTGTTCTAGTTATGCTTGTCAGAAACTGTTTAGTCATTGTATAACTCAAATATTTTGTGCCAATTTCTGAATCACTCCATCTGATTTGTCACTTTCGGTTCTTTTCGCAATTGTCATGTGCATTCACAGCAAGGTCTGAGAATTGACCCATCTGATGGTGGTAGTGGCTTTTCACTCTGCCTGAAACAATTTGATCTATCTAAAGATTGCAGATACAAAGGAGTGAAATCAGATAGGTTGATGCCATACAAGGACATCATGCAGCACCGTTGAGAGTTCGCAACTTTCACGGCATATTCGAAAACCAAAACTAATTATATCAATTAAAATAGAAACAAAAAAAAAGAAAAAAAACCTTTAGTTCTAGTTGGTAATACTAACTGGGACTAAAGACCGGTCCTTTAGTCCCGATTGGTATTACCAACTGGGACTAAAGGTGACCTTTAATTCCGGACGTGAAACCGAGACTAAAGGAGGGTACCTTTAGTCCCGGATTGATGCTCCCGGTTGGGAAACCGGGACTAAAGGGGTTTTTCCAACCGGGAGCAAAAAGCCTTGCTGCACCAGTGTCTGGCCCTCCCTCGGGAGTCGGGATGGCTCGGTTCGGTGGACTTTGTACTTGTACGGTTTCGGTCTACGCAGGAATGGACTTGTATCTATGGATGGACAGTAGGAGTAGGACTAGGAGAGCAGGAGGCACCCGGGAAGATCAACCATCATGATTCACCCTTCTTTTGAAACACATGGTTAGATACCGTTTCTTGCTACGGGCAAACAAAAGTCCGTGTCATCATCATCTTAATGAAATGAGTCCTAAGTAGATGATGTGACAAGTCAAATTCTCAAATGAGATAAATATACAAAATGTTATACATTAAATTTTTACTTTACTAGAATACGTTGCAACGGGAAAAAAATACCATGATGATTTCTCAAAAAAAACCATGATAACCAAGACTTCATGAGGTTTATCGCCACTTGCGTAAACTAAACTGGAAGAAAATAAAAGGTGAATTTCTTTATGATATATACCTCTAGAAGTGCATGGATGGCAAGCTTCGTGGTCTCTTTGCTGGAGGTCTCCTTTTAGCTCTCCTCCAGGAACTCACGCATAGAGTTGGAGTTCCTTCTAGTGGTGTTGGTCTTCCATGCAGAGAAGATAACACGGATGGATCGGCATTGGCTTGTCTGAGTAGGGGTCGAACTGCACCACCGGATGATAAGCACACAACACGGACTTTTGAGCTCCGGGGAGACGATGACGTGGATCAGGACTTTGTATCGGACATGGACGCAAACACATGAGCATGGATTGAGATTTGGTATCACCGGGTAGACGAGACGATGATCCGGTCTTTTTAGGGTAGAGATTCTCATGCAAAACAAAGTCGAGTCAATGCTATCAGCTCACCATTATTGCCATTTCATGCTTACCATGGGCAGTCACATTGTAGAAACCACCGTATCTAAGTTAGACTCGATGTCTTCACGCGCAACGCGAAGTAGTTATGAAGAGAAGGTATCGTGGGCTCGAGGCCATGCGGAGCAAGCTGCCAAAGGCAACGTCACAGAGGTTAGAATGTAGACTCCTAATTCAGTTTTGGCGATTTATGATGACACATTTTTTGTAAATAACATGTGTTTTGCATAGGCGTTATAAGTTAGGTCACAATAATGATTGATTAATGAGCAATCAGTGGTTTTCATGCCCCTATTTGATGGAATCCAGTTCGGTTTTCAAAGGATATGCGACGAGGTTAAGGACAAACTAGTTCTAAGTGTCATTTGGCATTGAGAGACACTTAGAGCAATTTAGGACTTTGTTTTTCCTTTGGTCATACTATAAACGGAGGTATGAACTAGGAGCTTGACCTTGGTAAGTCTAGTGTGTAGGTGTGGTGCACACTAGTCAAACTAATCACTAGGTAGCTCAGAGGAAGCCCAAAGATTAATTGGAAGTTACGCCATTCACAAAGATGGTTGAAATGAAAGTTGAAAGCCCTAGTTTGGTTTTGGATAATTGATGAAACCTTAGGACTAATCCTTGTACTAAGTGTGTAGACATGAAAGGATGGTCCTATGCCAAGTGGTGGAGCTAGATCAGGTCCATGGAGATGAAGATGTACATGTGATGATGGTGATCAAGCTCCAACTTGAAAAAGAAGAAAGAGAAAAACAAAAACCAAGGAAATCAAGGCAAAGGTATAAGATATGTTTTTGTTTTGGTGATCAAGACACTATAGAGAGTGTGATCACATTTAGGATCGATAGCCATACTATAAAGAGGGGAAATCTTTGGCTAAGCGGTTAGCGAGTGCCACTAGGTGACATGATTCTTGCATGTGCATTTACTAACCTAGTGTGCTAACCTTGACCCTTGAAAAATGTTTTAAAAAATGCTAACACATAAGCACACAAGTTCTACACTTTGTGGTTAGCAACTTGGAACTAAGGGTGAAGAGGCTGAGGAGTTAGAAACAGAAAAGGAGGCAAAGGTCAGTGACCGGACTCTGGGTCTCGGTGTGACCGGACCTAGAGGGGTCGCGTCCGGTCATAAACCCTGGCTCTCGACCAGTCATGGCAGCCTGACCGGACGCTAGACCTGACTCTAGAGCTGCGTCTAGTCATGCATGGCAGTGGTGGCATGGCTTAGGCAGGCAATCGGACGCAGGTGCGAGCGGGCAACCAGACGCGTAGGAGGCGCATCAGGTCAAGGCTGACGTACGATGACGTCAGCTCCACAGGCGCGCGCAAGGAAGCTATGTGCTGACCGCACGCAGGGGCGCGTCAGGTCGTCTTCGAGCGGACGCGTCCGGTCAGATATTTTCATCTCTAGACCCTCTCTGTACTCGATCAGACGCGCTATGTATGTGGGTCCGGTCGTGTCAAGGGTCGCATCCGGTCATGACTTAAGTAATTGCGGGCTTGGGACTTGACCATTGGAGATGAACGAGAAAGGTTTGAAGGAGGGACGCGTGGCATCCATCGGTGGACCGGATGCAGGTGACCGGACGCTGGGGTGCGTCCAGTCAGGCGAGTCCGGGCCACAAGCAGAGCAACGACTCTATTTTCTTGGGGCGTCTATAAATAGTGTTTGACCGGCTTGGGGCTCACTCTTTTGGCACTTTGACATACTCCCTCTTTCCCAGTATACATGCCATTTTAGCTTTTAAAGGATGTCCCAATAAGAATGACGTTTTAGAGGCCGGTCCCATAGCTGAGCAGCACCAGTCTGCAACTTTGTAGCCTGCAACAAGCTCGTAGTAGCCTGCAGTGAGCTAATCAATGACTACAAACAAGGAGAGTAGGAGAACAGTCATTACTAGGATAGGGGTGCGGTGGTATTTTTGCTTCAGCCTTGGTAGCTGTGTCACATGTGGTAGCCGTGTCGCATGCTAGAATGACTTTAAATATGGGACGG